GCAGCGGGCGGCCCCCGAGGGAGGGCAGGGCCCCGGCCGTCGAGATGATGATCCGGGTGTGACCGTGCTCCGCGAGGATTTCTTGGATCTGCGCCAGGGCCGCCCTCCCAGGCGCGCGGAGCGCGCCAGGGGCGGCGCCGGAGGCGCCGCCAGGGGTCCCTGGCGCCGATCCAAGAAATCCGCGCGGAGCGCCAGAAGTTGATGTTATGGCGTTTTTTCTTCTTCGAGGTGTGCAGCGGGCGTCCCTCGAGGGAGGGCTGGGTCCCAGCGGTCAAGATGCTGATCCTGGTGTGAAACCGAGCGACAAAAAGGTGTCGCTCGACCCGGCGCCGCGCCGCGGCTGCGGCGGCGCTACCTCAGCGTCAGCCACGTGTGGGGGCCGAGGGTGTGGCGCGCCTGGCCGCGGCCCTCGGCGCGCTGCTGGAGCTGCGGCGGCTCTGCCTCGCCAAAAAAGCCGCGTGGGGGCCGAGGGCGCGGCGCGCCTGGCGGCCAGCCCTCGGCGCGCTGCGGGAGCTGCGGCGGATCTGCCTCGCCAAGACCGCGTGGGGGGGCGTGGGGGGGGCGCCAGAGCAGTGACGGAGGACAGGGCCACGGCTGGCTGTCGCGACAGGGTGGCAAGCGACCCGCGCGATTCCTGGGCGGGCCTTCCCGCGATGCCAGACATACTGCCTGCTGTCGCGCTCGGCCTCACATTTCCGGCTCGTTTCCCTCCACATTTTCCTCTTTCGATTGGCGCAGAATGAACACACAGTCAGCGAGGATGATGAAGACGAAACCGAACACGATGATCACGTACGGGAGCACGGCGACGCCAGTACTCGCAAAGCACGTGACCATCATGGGCATGTGGATGAACGGCCCGCGCTCGGGCGCGTAGACGACGACCGCGAAGCTGCTCAGGGGAGACGGCAGCCAACGCAGCACCTGGAGCAACAGAAAAGACATAAACATGAACCTTCGGTTCGGAGCTCCGCGAGGGCTTATCGGATCTGCGGTGGACCCCACCTCCATGGCGCACGGAGCGCGCCAGGGGCGGCGCCGGAGGCGCTGCCAGGGAGGTCCCAGCTAGGTGGCGACATCCGAACCCTACCCCCACCACCCATCGATTCTCCTGAATCGATGGGAGGCGGGGGTAGGGTTCAAATCTCGCAAAGAATTCGACGAATTCCGAACCATACCCCCGCCGCCCATCGAGTTGCCTGAATCGCTGATCGGCGAAGGTAGGGTGCGGATTTCGCCGCCGACCAGCGCCGACCCCAGCAATCCGCATGGAGCGACGACAGTGCATGCTTATGCCGACATCTGGAGGCCTGGAAAATGGCACCAGCACCGACACGGGGGGAGGGGGTCTCCATCTTGGAGAAGATGACTCTAGATGCTTGAGCCGGTGGTAATACAGCTCGAACCTAGGACATGAGAACATCCTCCCAGAACACGAGACACCCTTCGCAGGCCCAAACTGAAGCACATTCGATGGTGTCCTCCCCCAAGATGCACAAGAACATCCAACAAGCACGCAGAACCTTAGGGCACCTTCCCCGCACCGACCTCGACCTCGTCTTCGGTCCGACGGTCTTCAGCCACCTAGGATGCCGGCCCGAGCAATCCGCGCGGAGCTCCGAAGGCTCATGCTGACGCCGCTTGGCTGCTCCTCTGAGCACCGCCAGCCCGCCGCCAGGGTCGCGCACCGTGGCGCCGGCGCCGGGGACCGCGGCGGCGAGGTCTGGGGCGACGGGCTGCAGGGCCTCCACCTCGGCCACGGCGCGGAAGGCGAGGCCGCCGGTCGCGAGGCCGTCCGGCGCCACCACGTCGGCGGGGCTCCTCCACGTGAGGACCGATGATGATGATGATGATGATGATGATGATGATGATGATGATGATGATGATGATGATGATGATGACGACGATCATGATGATGATGATGCTGATGGTGATGATGATGATGATATGATGACGATGATGATGGTGATGGTTATGGTGATGATGATGGAGATGATGATGGTGATGATGATGGAGATGATGGTGGGGGTGGTGATGATGATGATGATGATGATGATGGTGGTGGTGATGATGATGATGATGATGAGGGTGGTGGTGGTGGTGATCATGATGATGATGATTATGATTATGATGGTGGTGGTGATGATGAGAATGATGACGGTTATGGTGGTGAAGATGATAATGGTGATGGTGGGATGGTGATAGTGGTGAAATGGTGATGGTGATAATAACGATGATGGTGGTGGTGGTGATGGTGATAATGATGATGGTGCTGAGTATGGTACTGACGATGACGGTAAGGATGATGGTGATGATGATGTTATTGATGATGACGGTAAGGATGATGATGACGACGATGATTATGGTGATGATGGTGATGATGATGACGATGCTGGTGATGAAGATGACGCGCTGATCATGACGATGATAATGATGATGATTATGATTATGATGATGATGATGATGATGATGATGATGATGATGATGATGATGATGATGATGATGATGATGATGATGATGATGATGATGATGGTGGTGGTGGTGATGGTGATGATGGTGATGACGATGATGGTGATGATGATGATGATGCTGTTGCTGATGTGATCACGATTGTGATGGTGATGATGATGTTGATGATGGTGCTGAGCGTGCTGATGCTATTGACGTTTAGCCTGATGATGGTGGTGGCGAGGATGCTGATGGTGATGATGATGATGATGATGATGGTGATGGTGCTGGTGCTGATGATGCGTCTGCTGATAATGGTGGTGATGGTGAAGACGGTGATGATGATGATGATGATGATGATGATGATGATACTGATGATGCCGATAGTGATGGTGATGGTGATGGTGATGGTGATGGCGATGATTAAGATGATGTCGATGGTGATGCCGATGGTGATGACAATGACGACGACGATGACGATGATGATGATGATGATGGTGGCGGTCATTATGCTGATGATCATTATGATGATGATGATGATGATGATGATACCGATGATGGGGGCGGTGATGATGATAGTAATGAGTATGGTTTTGATGATGACGGTAAGGATGATGGTGATGATGATGTGTTTGATGATGACGGTAAGGATGATAATGATGACGACGACGACGATGATGATGATGGTGACGATTTAACTAATGAATATGGTGATAATGGTGATACTGATGACAATAGTGATGATGATGATGATGATGGTGATGATAAAGATGATAATAATAATAATGATGATAATGATGATGGTGAAGATGTAGCTGATGAAGATGATGATGGTTGCGATGATGATGACAATAATGATGACTATGGTGGTGATGATGAAGATGATGATGGTGACCATGGTGATGACAATTATGACGATGACGCTGGCGATGACAATGACGATGATGAAGATGAAGATGATGATGCTGATGATGACACCGATGATTGTGATGATGGTGACGATGGGGATGATGATGATGACGACGACGACGACGAGGATGAGGATGATGGTGACGATGATGGTGATGAATATGATTATGATTATGACTATGATGATGAGGATGAGGATGAGGATGAGGATGAGGATGAGGATGCGGATGATGATGATGATGATGATGATGATGATGATGATGATGATGATGATGATGATGATGATGATGATGATGATGATGATGATGATGATGGTGATGATCATGACTATGATGATGGTGAGGCTCCTCGACGCAAGGACCCGGTGGGCCGCGTCGACGAGGTAGACCTTGCCCTCCGGGCCGAGCTGGTCGTCATCGAGGACGGCGCCCGTGAGCCCGCCGATCTCCACGCTCACACGCCCGACCACGGTCAACTCCTGGCCGTTCGGCAGCCTCTCCTCGCCGCGAGGGAGGAAGGGTTTTGAGGTGTCCTGACGCTTTCGTCGGTTCTCGACGCTTTCCCAGCCTCGTGAGGCTGTCCAGCAGCCGCGCCTCGCCGACGGCGCTCCAGGGGTGCCCGGATCGTCCCAGACGGCCGCCGGAGACCCAAGCTGTGACCCGAAAACCAATCGGAAGCGAAGCGAAACGAAGGCCAGAACCGTGCGCGCTCCTTTGGGGAGCCCACCCGCACCCGCGCCAGGGCATGGCGTGGAGGCCGTGGCCTTACAAGTGTGATACGCAGGCGGACCCACGCCGCGACCACCGCTCAGTGCTCCCAGAGAGAAGACTAGAAGGCCCCTCCGCCTCCTCCGCCTCCTCCGCCTCCGCCTCCTCCTCCTCCTCCTCCTCCTCCTCCTCCTCCTCCTCCTCCTCCTCCTCCTCCTCCTCGTCCTTCTCCTCCCCCACTCCTCCTCCTCCTCCTCCTCCTCCTCCTCCTCCTCCTCCTCCTCCTCCTCCTCCTCCTCTCTCCTCTCCTCCTCCTCCTCCTCCTCCTCCTCCTCCTCCTCCTCCTCCTCCTCCTCCTCCTCCTCCTCCTCCTCCTCCTCCTCTGCCTCCTCCTCCTCCGCCTCAAAGGAGGTTGGGGCACAAGGGGGCTGGAACGTCTTGGACTTTCTCGTGGAGCCCTTCGTGAGCCTACGCGGGACTGCTCCGCAGCGGCTGGAGGGCGAAGCTGCGCCGACACGCAGGCTGAACACGTCAAGCAGCCGCGGCGGGCAGTCGGGGAGAGCCTGCGAAAACTCCAACAAGCACAGAACTGATGGGGGTTTCTCCTTGGGCCGACCCCCGGCGTTCCACTGGCCCGCCAAAGCCGGAAAGGGTGCCAGACGCGGGGGGGTCGGCCCGACGCCCTCCGAGGCCCCTGTCCACCCGCCCCTCTCTGGAGGCGCGGGGCGCAGCTTCTGCCGGCGGCGAGGGCACTCTCTCCGGCAGGCCACGAGGTCCTCCGGCGACGGAGCCCCACGCGCAAGATCTGGACGCCCGAAATGGGTACGGAAAGAATGGGCACAATGCCCAACAACAAATGCTGTCCCGAACCAGCAGCGGCCGCTGTTGGGCAAGCGGCCTTCTGTCCCAAATGGACACAGGCCGTGGCGGCGCGGACAGCGAGTCCTGTTCAGAAGGAACAGGAACTGCTGTTGGGCATCGTACCCATTCTTTCCGTACCCATTTCGGGCGTCCAGACAAGAGAGAGGGGGGCTGAGGGACTCCCTCGGAGCCGGCACCCGAGGACGAGCCGTGCGAAAGAAGCTCTAGCGTCGCTCCGCCTGCGCTCGAATTACGCTCCGATGACACCTGGATTGCACTCCGACGCCGCTCCGAACGAACTCCGACGACGCTCCGATGACTCTCCGATTGCACTCCGCTTGCACTCCGATTGCGCTCCGCTGGCGCTCCGATCAGCCCCGATCGCGCTCCGAATACGCTCCGATTAAGCTCCCATTGCACTCCGATGACGCTCCGATGACTCTCCGATTACACTCCGATTGCGCTCCGATTGCACTCCGATTTCGCTCCGATGGCGCTCCGATCAAGCGCCGATGATGCTCCGAGGACGCTCCGATGACACTTCGATGACCCTCCGATGACACTCCGGTTGCACTCCGTACGCGCGCGTCGTGGGCAGAGGTCCTGGACATCGACGCCACGTGTCACCACATCGACACCATGTGCCGCCGAGGCAGGAGGGCCCTGGACCCCTCCGGGCCTCGAGGCCTGGCGAGGGCGGCGCGACCTCCCCCGAATCGCCGGCCGCAGCATCCCCGGCCTGGCCATCTTTGACTACCTACCAGACCACCCCAACCCAACCCGGAGACCCGAATTTGACCCGAATTTCGGGTTGGGGGGGGTACGGATTCCATGTATTTTCTCAACGTTCCCCGACCCCCCCCACTGGAAATCGAGGATAAATTGAGGCCTTCGGGTTGGGTTGGGGTGGTTTGGTGGGTGGTGAATCTTTGCCTGCCGAAGTCTGGGCCGGGGCCCACGTGCCCCGTGGCCTCGGCGCTGCCTCGCGTCGAGCCCGGGGCAGGAGAGCGCCCTCCGAGAGCACGAGAGCCTCCGCCGGCCAACGCATGCAGAGCGTCCGAGGGCACCCTGAAAACCCCGGGTGCTCCACAGCATCCCACCAGTACTCAGAACACTGTAGGGTACTCCAGATTTCGTAATAAAAGGGAGGGGGTCTGGACCCTCCAAGACAAGCCATTTCAGACCCCCCCCCCCGTGGGAGAACCCTCCAAAACATCGTCCCCAGACCCCCCCAGGCCCTCCAAGATAGCCTGGAAGAGACCCCCCCCCCGAAATGAGACCCCCCTCCCTTTATTACGAAATCTGGGGTACCCTCCCCCCGGACGACCTCGATCTTATACCCTGGTCCGACTGTGCACTCGGGGGCGAGGCGAGGCGAGGCGAGGCGAGGAGGGGCGCCAGTCCGTCGTCCAGGGGGGCGGCCCTACGAGAGCCCGGCGGTGGCACCGGAGCGCCGAGGAAATGCGGATCGAGGGGGGAGGCGGGAGGCGGGGAGGCGGGGAGGCCTCCGGCCTTGGTGTTGAATTTTGCGCACAATCCGACTGTACACAGGGGGGGGATGCACGGCCCCCTCCTTCCTCCTCCTCCTCCTCCTCCTCCTCCTCCTCCTCCTCCTCCTCCTCCTCCTCCTCCTCCTCCTCCTCCTCCTCCTCCTCCTTCGAACACTGGGGGGGAGGAGAAAACCGTACACCTGTGGTGGCCCTTTTTGGGCCCCGGGGGGGCCCTCTCCGTGGGGGCCCCCTGAGGTCCTGGAGGCGCACAGGAGAAGCACCCCTCTTCGCCTCGCCATCTCTCGGGCGTCCATCCTCCGTGCATCTTGCCGGTTTCGCGCGCGCGCATGTTTCGCAGGATGGCCCAACAGGCTCCTCGATGGCCCTCGCCGAGGAAGAATGCTCACGCCCGAGCGGTGCCGAGATCCATCGCGCCCCCCCCCTATCGCGCAGCGCCCGAGCACCCGGAGGCCCTACGAGGTCCAGGGCCGCTCTATCCTCGGAGGCGGCCCCATTACCCTGCGCCCCTCGGGCTCCGAGGTGCGGAACAGCAGGCGGCAGACGGGGGCCAGCGCCCCCGCGAGCACCTCCAGCTCTGGCGCGGCGCTCCACTGGCTCACGAAGAGCCCGGACTCCCCCGGCAGCATCACGGCGTCCTGCAGCGGCACGAGGAGGATCCAGGCGGGGGCGAGGAAGAGGGAGGAGGATGCGGATGAGGAGTAGGGAGGCGGAGGAGGAGGAGGAGGAGGAGGAAGAGGAGGAGGAGGAGGAGGAGAAGGAGGAGGAAGAGGAGGAGGAGGACGGAAGAGGAGGAGGACGGAAGAGGAGGAGGAGGAAGACCAGTGTAAACCAGAGACTCATCAACGATGTTGGAATACACCCTCCCTCCAAGCTCCCTCCTCGCAGGCCACTACAAAGGCTCATTTCCACAGAGGGAATTGCCCCAATGGGGGACAACTGTGTGAAAATCTTGACGCGTGCCGAAACACCATTCTCGGGACTTCAACGCCACGAGTCAACCTGATGTTTGCTTCTTGACGAGCCTGAATCGTGCCAGAACACCACTCCTGGGACTTCAACACCGC